CCTATAAGAAAAGCCAAAAAAGGAAAAAAATCAGTACTCACAGTACCTGATTAACGTATAATTCTTAGACTCCGTATGCCTGGTTTTTTTTCTTTTTCTTCTGGCATGCTCTTACCTTTATAGACTCTGCTGCTGTATAGTGGCAGCCATTAGAGAAAAGGGCAGAGGATATAGGGGGAGGAACATGATTTGAAAATAATTGCTTGAATATTTGTAGCAATCTGCAGTCTTTTCTAACTGGGATTGTTAAAACCACATCATGGTGTGTGCTTCTGCCTCCCTGCCATTCTTTTCTCATCATTTTTGAAGAATCCCTTCTGCTCGTAAAATGCAATTTATGATGGGGACCTAATCACACTTATAAAGTTTCTCAAGCTAGCAGAATAAAAATAGATACAGTGAGAATTCAAATATATTGGGTAGTCAGACACAAAGTAGAATCTGAATTTAGGAAAATGCATTTTATCGCTGTAACTCAACATTTTTATCTCTTCTACCTCAGGCTCGTCTGGAAGCTTAGATTCAATCTCCTAACAATATCTGAAATGGAAAAAAAAAGTGGTTTTGCTGTTTCGTACACAGTCCTCCTAATATTCTGCCATTTAGAGCGCCAAGAAGCCAATTTTTAGTTAATTTCCATCACGCTACTTCTCTACTTCTGTGGCTGCTATAAAGCCTGTTGCACCTATCCTGCGGTTGAACTACAGGATGTCAGGCTATTGGTTGCTAAGCGATCCAGACATTTGGGTGGTTATTATGAGACAGCAAAGTGTAGCAAGGACTGAGACATCTCAAAAACAGTTTACTCTTACGCTGAAATCATTTACCTCTTCAGCAACAGAGATTAAATATTCACAGTCCCACAAACACCTCCTTCCCCTTTCTGTGGAAGTCTAGAGTGAGGTTTTTTAATGCACTTCAGTGCACTACGCTTATTTTGTCCAAAAACATGTATCTACCACTGAAGTTTTCAGCCAGTTTTCCTTCTAATCATATCTGTGAGCCAATACATTGTCATGGGGATCTTAGTCTCTGTGCTCGCTATGTTGGCAACGCTATTCTCAGGGGCAACTTCCAGCACGCTACCTATGGTTCTGTGAAGCGTTGAAATGCTAAACTAAGGACGCAGCACATACAGAAACCAACAAAAAATAGCCACCGGAAAGCTCAGTTAGCCATTTCAGCAAGCACGGGGGCAAGTGCGATGGATGACTTTACAGTGATGGAGACGTCACCCATCATTTTGATAGAACTTGTTTCTAGTGCAGAAATCCTTCAGCAGATCTTCGTATCACCAGCTCCACCCCTTCCACACTGGTGTAAATCATCTCCCCGTACAAACAAACAAAATGTCTGTAAACACCTGTGACTATGAACCCCGCCTGTCATCGAATGCCTGAGATGGTCCCTTTGCAGGCGCATCAAATCCCTGACACTTCTCCAGGGAATTCAGAAGAGTGAGTGTGGTTTACTCCTGAGGTTTCTTATGCGTCAACAGGCCTAAGCTTTCCCAGCGCTCACCCACGGCTCTTTTTCGCTCATGCAAAGGATAAACGGAGGCCACCCCATTGCGGAAGCCGGGAGCTGGTCAAATACAAGGCTGAGAAGGTATGTTCAAAATTCCTGCCTGACTTCCTCTAGCAAAATCAATATGAAATTTGAGTGACTATGAAAGCACTGGTTAATCAAGGAAATCAAGGAAGATACACTGAAATTTGGATTGTGCTTCATTTTGATTAGCTGGGGGGGGACAGCTCCATGAAAAGCAAAATTTTGGGAAACCAACCCTCCCACCATGAGCATGGCCTGCAGCGGACGCAGCCCTTCCCACCAAGATGCTTGGATGTCTGATGCAGGGATTCGGGATCCCTGCTAAATGCCAATGCACTCTGACTGGCAGCTGATGCCTCTGAATCAGACTTTGCCTCTTCTAAAACACCGCCTATTAACCAAATAAAGCAGATACGCTATGACAGGTTACGTCTTGGCTCCCAGTTTCTCTAACAGCAAGAGATACCTAGTCACTCTCCTCTTGTCAGCTCCTTAAAGGTGCCCGTGTGAAGTTCCCAGCCCCTATCACAAGATGTCCCATTAACTAGCCAGCACTCCTGGCTTCACCACGCTGCCAAAAGGTTTCTCGCTTTTGATTTCAGAAATCTCTCATGCAGCTGACAGGTGCAAAGGATTATTGGCACGGTGCTAGATGAAGAAAGAACCTAATTAAAGAGAAGACATTTTGTGCATATACATGTGTGTGTGCACACGTGTGCACATGTGCTAATTAGGGCTGCCGTCACAGGGACGAAAGCAGAAGGCGTCGAGGGCCCTCAACACCAAAAGCTATAGGTTCGCCTCTCAGGGTGGGCAGCCCTAGAGAGAGGCTGGAAAGAGTAACAGCAGCAGCAGCAGATGTGCAAAATTACTTTTCAAGAGGTTTAGGGCCATAAACATTGTCAGAAGAGCCCTAATGTGCGTTCTGCATTTTCACCTTCTTTCCAAGTCTGAAGAACTGATTCCTCATCCCTTCTAGGAGGGGATTATGGCCATATTGGGTTTTTCTAGAGGGTACGTTGATTGTTAGATATTGTCAGCAAGAAAATGATAGTGGGTAACAACGTTCAGGGACAAACAAGGTAGAAGATACTTTAAACCTTAACAAAGCCGAGCACCACCACAAACCTTGGGAGAGGGCTTGCACATTATATTGTCCAATTTTTGGGAAGACTTTCAGACTCAATATAAATCTTCATTTCTTCCCTCGCTATTATTGCGGGTGGAGGACAGGAGCATTCACTATACTGCCGATGCATGTGGAAAGGGTATTATCCAAAAGGCTTCTTCCCCACCGTGCAGTAAAACCGTGTGCCACACAGAAATGAGCCCATTTCACATAAACAGCAGAACTCGATCAATACCCGAACCGCCTTGACAACCAATTTATTCTAGAGGCCTCCCCTCACCCCCTTGTTTTGATTGCTTCAGGTTAGAGCACGAACAAGCGAGGTATTTCGGGTCTCCAAGCAGGAGTTGAGAGTTACTGAAGGGGAGGGAGCCTGGGAGACACCACTTTCAATTTCAATTACCATTTCCAATTGCGCTCCTGACAGAGCTCGTTACCTGAACCCTTTGCAGGCTGGTTACACAACCAGCCTAGCACTAAGTGACAACAGGCTTCTGGTGCAAGCAAGGATGGCTCCTAGCCTTTTGAAACACACTAAACAAATATATACCAGGAAGATGGAAATCTCTGTACTATTATTTAATCTTCTTTTCTCCTCTACAGTCACAATCTGTCAATAGCTCCATGTGCTTACAGCTAATACGCTGTTCTTTCTCTGGAGAAACGCAGTTCCAGATTCATGTGCAATTCATGAGATTAACATGAAGATGTGGTGGTTGTTGGTACATTAGCATCAATTTTAAAAGTGCCCGAGTACAGAGGTCAGACATCTATTCTCCACACCCCTGATAAATCCTAGTAAGTAAAAAATGTAACCCTCCTCCCTTTGCACAAGGTTTACATCTATTTCAAGTGATAAAAGCAGGCAACTATGCAGTCTTAGAAGCTGTAACACAGAGCAATCCATAAAACTCATTTTTACTTGATCATCAGCAAGGCTTTGCTGTGTACTGAAGTGTGCCTTTGTAATCAGGAGAGAGAGGCAGGCTCCTCTCCGAGGTAATTCAAAGCAAAATCCCAACGTAGTCCCCCTAGAATCGATAAATCATTCCTGGAAGGTACCTGAACTGGGTTTCTACTCTGAGCTGCCCACCTTAAAGGAGTTTATTTCTCTTTGCTGACTATCAAGTGAGCCTGGGAGATTGGGCTCTCTTGGCAGAGCCCAGCCTGGAAGACCAGCCTTGGCAGAGTCCTCGTACCGGGTATGGGTAAGGGATTGTCAAGTGGGCTCTGAATCAGGAATCTGGATTTCTGCTATCAGTTCCTAGCTTGTTATGAGGTCGTAGACTAGCTTTAAGACAAACAGAAAAACAGAATTCATGCATCCATGAGTTTCGTCAGTGCAATCAGGCAACACCAAGGTAATTTAAATCTTAAAAATTCTCCAATTTTAGAAGTTTTGCAGCTAAATGGGAAGTACTGGCCCTAAGATAATTCTGAATATTTGAGGAAGAAAAGGGTTATCAATAATACAATAGTCCAGACAACTACTTCTATTTTTACAGGCAAGATGGCAAGGTCATTATTCCTGTAACATGTCTGCCCAGCAATTTTGGGTGTTGCCACAGGAATTCCAATCAAATACTATCCTGCTCATGGACAGTTTGCAACCAGGAAATTCATTAGTCGTAAATTATTTGTAGAGTGGTTGCTTCTACTCGTGTTGTATACTTTGAAAAACTCACCTCTGTCATTGTGTAATATGAAAACCACATTGCAGCTATTCTGAACGATCCAGATTTCCCTGATTCATACCCACTGAATGAAATTTATTATTTCAAGTTTAGCTGTAAATATGCTTCCCCTAACTGGGAGACTCTGAGAGACAAAGGCTCATTAAAATCCAAATTTCCCTGGTTAAAATTTGAAGACAACATTTTTTATCTGCAGCAACAAAAAAGACAGACAAAGCTCTTCTGACCCACAGCTGCATTGTCTTATCTGTCAAAATCACTTCCATTTTGCCTGCTCTGCAAATAGCCAGGGCTGGTTTTTTCCTTCTTCCCAGTCATTTCACTGTAGCTCTTTGCTAATGTGACTGTCAAGCCTTCATGTACTTTGTTTACTGCTGTATTTTAGGAGCATTATAAATGCTGCTTCACTTAGAAACTGAAGCTGTCTGTGATGCAAGGCCTCAGTTTGACTCCTGTTCGACACCTCCATCCGGGATTGACTGACCCTTTCAACCAGACCAGATTCTACCACATAAAAGATTTATGCTGTCTTCTTGTATGGCTCTACATGCAAAACCACCCAACCCGCTGCTCTCAGGGCTCTAAAACAAACA